TGCACCCGGCGCTTCCCACCCGGGACCTGCCCAGCCTGTGTCTCACACTCTCCGAGCCCCAGCCCTGACCTGCCCCTTCGGACCCGGAGCCCGTCGTGACCGGCTCCTGGCGGACCCCGAACACTCCCAGACTTGAAGCCCGTGACCGGCCCGTCTGGGATCCGGAAGCCCCTCATGACTAGGGAAAGGCCTGGGTCCTTCCTCCCCATGACCTGTCGTCCCTAGCTCAGGGACTGCCACCAGCCCTTTTCAGACCCTGAAGCACTCTCCATTGGTTTCACCAGACTCGGGACCCTCCCCGTGTCTGGGCCCATGTCAGATTCTCTCAGACCTGAGACATGCCCTCCCGCCCCTTCCTCAGTCCCAGGAATCCGCAGACCCTGGGGTCTTCCTGCTCCTGAGATCTCCTTAGGAGGGCTTCATCAGACCCCCAGACGGGGGAGCGCCTAACCCACAACTGACTGGTCAGGCCCTGGCCCCACCTCAAGACCAGGCACTCACTCCCTGAGTGCCGCTCACAGTCTGCTGGGATGTTGCCTCCTAGGTCCCCTGTTCCATTCACTGCTTCTGTCTCTTCATGGTCCAGGCACCCAACTCCTTCCAGCTTCTCTACCCCCAGGCCTCCTGCCCCTGCTCTGGGACCACTTGCGGTCTTTTCCCAGTCTTCCTGGCCTCTATCCAGACTCCCCCATCCCATACCTTCGTCTTGCCCGATCCTGGTTCCAGGGGACCCTCTTTCCTATTCTTAACTGTTCTCAGCACAGGCACAGGGCTTCCTCTCAGTCTCTAGTACCCACGTACTGGGAAATCTAACTCACCCAATTTTAGTTCATGTCCAGTCGCTTCCCCCCATTTGACCTGGATTCCTGAATACCTGCTGCCAGTCCCTGATCAGCTTCGGAAGTACAGCTTCACCTGTCTGGGCCTTTCCCACACCTCACTCCTCTCAGGCTTGACACTTTTTGCCAGCTGAAATGGAGTAGCAGTGGTGAATACTCCTTTTTTTTTTT